AATGGATAGCTCCAAGAGATCTACATCAACATTGAGCATCCACATCTTCAATATCTACATGAAGTCATCATCGACAAAACCCAAGGTTAGTTCATCCCTCTTAGGGGGGATATCACATCTAGGGGGAGCTTTACTCTAAGACTTGAGCTAAAGCAACTCTAAAGATGTGAACACAACAATGCTTTATGTAAAAGTGGTAACCACACTTGAGCTTAAATGATGAGTATGACCTATGATCAAGTGTTCTCACTTGACTCCTAAGTCAATATACTCATATATAGATGACCTAGTCATCGCAAATTGCTTGAATAGATGCTAGAATTGGTTGTGCATGTCTTGCCACATATTTCATTTGCCATCTTATTGTGTGAGCATGCTGGTTGCATATTTTACTCATTCGAGGACATCCACTTGTTGCTTTGATTGTTCGGCTTTACCTTTTTTTTGCCAAGTGGATGGACAAGAATGCCTAAGAACCTCCTCTAGCTATCTATGCTTTTCTCGTCTCAAACTCTATTCATGCTGCATCACAAAATTTGATCAAGTCAGATTCGAACCACTCTGTGTGAGGAGCGCTCGGAGTCCCCGATTCGTCATAGACTTAAACTTCCAAAACCTCTTTATGATTCTTGGTCTGACCGATACTCCACTTTCGGTCCTACCGAGATCATTAAGTTGATCTAGGTTTTCGATCTCGGTGCAACCGATTTGAACCTTTCGGTCACACCGAGTTTCAATAACTGCACGTAGTTATGAATCTCGGTGCCACCGAGTTGTTCCACTCGGTCACACCGACAGGGTCGGGCTATATATAGTCATGGGCAAAATTTGGAAATTTCTCCGAACCCCTTCGCCCGCGCGATAGCCTGCTCTGCCCTCGAGGTCTCCAGATCATCTTCTCACCGCCAGCAGCCTCCAATCGCTGGTCTCCGTCGCCGTCAACGGGATTTCTGCCCCACCGTTGCCGCCGTAGCAAGTCCCCTGTGAACTAGGGTATGGACTTGATCTTTGTGCTATTCCTCAATCTGATTCCTAGCACATTGTGATCATATTGTTTCTAGCCACGTTTGATAAACTCCTATCCAGTCAAAACGCTCATAGATTAGGTTTGATTTGAAAATTCTAGGTTCAGGTCTCCGCCGAAACCATCTCGGACCCACCGAGTTGAAAAACTCGGTCCCACCGATTTGGCTTATGCCATTGCACAAGTGAGACTCGGTCTGACCGAGAATTACTTATCGGTGTGACTGATTTTTGAACTCAGTGAAACCCTAGCAGTCTCGGTGCCACCGAACTGTGACTCGGTCCTACCGAGTTCACTAGTTTAGGTTCCAAAACTGCTTCGGTATCACCGAGTTTGAAAGTCGGTAGATCCGAGATGATTTCAGTGGGAAACTAAAACTAGGTTTTTGAATTATTCTTTTGCAAAAATCTCTGCATTTTGTGATGCTCATCCACTCTATCTCCTCTATAATCTATTCACAGGGTCAGTAGTCAGTTTGCATCATGTCAGACCAGAGTGACAGCCAAAACTTGTCAGAGGAGCAAGTGCAGTTGAGTGAGGGCACTAGTCCCTCAAGTTCCTCAGATGATGGCAGCAGGAGCACACCCAGCAACCTTCCTACAGCTGCCACTAGGCAAAGGAAGAAGAAAACCTCAGATTCTGAAGATGAGGACTATGTGGCAGAGGAAGAGGCCACTTCCAAGAGAATTGAGCCAGCCCAAGGCACTAAGCCAGGTCTAAAGATCAAAAGGCCAGCAGGCAGGCAGCCCATGTCAAAGGCTAGAGCCTCGACTGAGAAGCCCACTTCCCAAGAGCCAGCTGCAGCTGAGGGCAAGAAAAGAAAGGAGAGGGTGAAAAAGACTATGGCTAGGGTGCTTGGCAAAGCTTCCATCATGGAAGAGGAAGAGGAAGAAGAGGCAGCTGCACCAGCGCCCAAGGCACCCAAGCTTATGGGAGATGCCATAAGGTCAGGGGGAGCTGCATCCAAGCCCAAGGAAGCACCTAAGGCTGCATCTAAGCCTAAGAGTGCACCAAAGAGAAACACAAGAAGCATCCCAGCCACTGAGAAGAACAAGGCCCCAGTGCCTGAGACTGTTGCAGAGGATGAGGAAGAAAATGTCCTTCGGAAGCTCAAGCCCAAGATCCCAGACCACAACGATGCTCATCCTGTGGCTGAGGATATGAAGCTCAGGAGAGACTCAGGGCTCAGGAAATGGAGAGAAGCAGATCCATACGCCTCTAGGAGAAGGACTGCAGTGGACTACAGGTTTCATACCAAGGAGCAGCAGGATTTCTATGAGACAGTGCTACTTGACAAGAAGCCAATTGTATGTGACATGAGATGGGTCGACTGGACCTATATCAAGGACAATGAAGAGTACTACCCTGGAGTATTTGACAGCTTTAGTGCGTGTGGAGTTGCAGACTTTGTTGGGCAGAAGCTCACAAAGTGGAACGAGGAACTGATCATGCAATTCTACTCCACAACACACTTTTATCCGGATGGCAGGATCACATGGATGTCAGAAGGTACAAGGTACAACTCTGCTGTTGAGGAATGGGCGAAGCTAATCAATGCTCCAGAGGAGCAAGCAGATGACTTGGACATTTATGCCAAGAAAAAGATGGACCACAACTCCATGTCCAACATGTACAAGGAGATTCCGAATGAAGCACTTGACACGTTCAAGTTTGGCTCAGTGCATTATCTGCTATCAGGATTGCCTACGATCAACTGGATCCTTAGGCACACCCTTCTGCCCAAGTCTGGAGATCACAAGATGATCAGAGGTCACGCGATCAATTTGCTTCATGTTTTTGATGTGCCTCAAAAATTCAAAGTCATGAGCCTCATAGTGGAAACGATCAAAAGGACTGCGGCAGATCAGAAGAGGAGCTGTGGATATGCCCCTCAGATTCAAGAGCTCATCAACTCCAAGATGGGCACGGGCGTATATTTGTTGGATAAGGAACACCTGCCCATCCGTCCCGATTTCGAGAACAATGAAGTTGTTATGACTGAGAATGAACCATCATCTGCCCATGCACAAGCTCAGAAGGAGAAGGCGAAGAAGGAGAAAGATTCCAGGATGCCTACTCAAGCGGAGGCATCTTATTACTTCATGAAAACCAAACAAGAGCAGCTTGGTTACCTGATTGCGTCCACCCTGCGGATTGAGCAGAGTATAGCCACCCTGACTCAGAACCAGGCGAGTTTAGAGAGGATCATGGAACAAAGGTTCTATGACTTGGACATCAAGGTGACAGAGATACAGACTGCCGTGGAGCAGCTCCAGGAGGACATGAATGAGAGGAGAGGCAGGACCACGACTGATGCTTTTGCGAGGGTGCCACGAGGTCCGAGGTCGTCTGCACTGCCAGTTGCTGACACCAGAGCTACAACGTCTGCACCAGCCACATCCTCAGTTCCACCAGCTCCGGCATCCACTTCAGCCTCGACTCCGACCACGTCTACCAAAGGCTTTATCCTTGGAGTGCTCCGGACTCCACCACCACCTGAAGATCAAGCCTGAGCGTCGACTTAGCACTATGCATTTTCTAGGAACTTTTTGGTAACTTGTTGCCAAAGGGGGAGAAAATGTATAGATCATAGGCTTCGAGAGAGAGTGTTGCTTTTATTCTCTCTTGTTTTATTTGGTTTTTTTCGAACTTATTTGCTTTTGAGTGCTTGATACTACGTCATTATTTGTGAGACATTGATGATCATGTGTTTGATCATAAGATACACTTAATGTTTGCTTAATGCTTGCTTAAATATTATCATTCTATCTATCGTTTGTGATCATTTATTGTTCTTGGTGATGAGTGCATGTATTTCATTCTTATCATTTTTGAGTGCTCCACCAAGATGTATGTGACATGGAAGAGTAACCCATGACTCTAACTCCTTGCGCATTTGCAATCCAAAGCAAATTTTAAATATGCACAAACTTAGGGGGAGCTCTTACTTATCACATACTTCTCAAAGCGACGATATATTTCATGCTTATTATTTGTCAAAGCTTTGATCTATATGTTGTCATCAATTACCAAAAAGGGGGAGATTGAAAGTGCAACTATCCCTAGGTGGTTTTGGTAATTCATAACAACATATAGCTCATTGAGCTAATGCTATTCCAAGATGATTGTTTCAGGAAAGCTCAATGATTGGCATGGCATGGATGTGAAAGTGGAACCCTCAAAATGCTAAGGACAAAGGATTGGCTCAAGCTCAAAAGCTCAAGACTCTTTATTTTATATTTTAGTGATCCAAGATCACATTGAGTCCTTAGGAAAAGCCAATACTATCAAGGAGGGATGAGGTATTGCTTAATGAGCCTCTTGCTTCATGTGCTTAATGATATGCTCCAAAATCCTCAACTACTTTCCCATATCCACATATGACCTAGACCCTAAGCCAAACTCGGTCCTACCGATTCTTCCTATCCGGCGCCACCGAGTTTCACTTGTCATAAGCCACTGCCAATATACTCTTTGCATGCTTGCTTGAATTGTGTGATGATTGCTTGACTTGTCCTAAAATAGCTAAAATCTGCCAAGAACTAAAATTGGGAAAAGGTTAAGTTTTTATTTGGTCAAGTAGTCTAATCACCCCCCTCTAGACATACTTTCGATCCTACACATATCTATCCTCTCCTTTTGCCTTTCTCTATTTTCGGAAATGCGGAAACCTTTTTTTTATTTGTCCAGCAGGCCTCCTTGTTTGTTTTACCTCTCCACTGGGTCGGCCTCCCAACGCATCTGCAGCCCAGACCGGCCCAACCTCCCCTGGGCCACCAGACCCGCTGTAAACCCTAGCCGCCAGGGAGCCTGTTCCCCATCTCTCGATCTCTTCCCTCGATCCCTCATGGCACCACCACCCCTTTGTCTCGCTCCCCCTCAGCGCCATCTCTCCCTCGATCCCCTTCACGCCCACGCGGCCTCGTGCCTCCCACCGGCAACCACCTCCACCACCTCTCTTGCCCCGCCGCCTTCGTCACAGCGCCACCGCCTTCCCCACTCCGGAGTGGCCGCCTGCCACCAGAGCCTCCAAGTCAGCGAGCCCCTTCCTCGTTGGGCCTCCTTTGCTTTTCCTCGATCCGGACAGGAACGGGACCCCGATGGTCTTCAGTGGCTGGATCCGGCCATTCCCGTGCTCCTCACCACCTCTGCTTTCTCCCTGGTGAAGTGATGCCAGGGCCGACCCCAAGGTCTCCTCTACCGTCGTCATCAGCCGCAGCTGCTGGTCCGGCAGACCTGTGCCTGCCATGGCCCTCCTCGCGCCGTCCTGCTGCAGTGCCCCAGCTCGGACCCCCACCTTTGAATCGAGGTCTTTGTGCCGCTTCTTTTCAGTTCATGCCCAGTCTTGCGAGACCGGGGCCTCTTCGCGCATGACCGCCGTCGCGTTCCGTTTCATCTTTGTCAAGTACCCATGGACACCAAGTACCACGATGTCGTTGCCCCTCAAGTTCGGCTACACAAAAATGCCAAGTACCTCTACGCGCGAAGATGTCAAGGCCGTTTAGGGATTCATCAAGTACCGCTACTGATGACTCAAGCATCTACGAAAACGTGTACCACTATTGTCGCCGAGATTGCGAGAACCTCTACCGTCGACCTCGGAGCGTGTACGACGACTGTTGTCGAAGACCCATACCTCTACCGCTTCCCGAACATGAACAACTACTTCCACTTCAACCATCCCGAGAACGTCTACTTCCTCTACTTCCCTCGACGAACCCGAACCGTCTCGAACCGCACGCTTCAAAGGTATAACCGTCGAGCCGATGATCCCATGGACGAATGCTTGCGATCTATGAGATGGCCGTGTTTGCACCATGTATGAATTGATCCTTGTACGTTTCTTGTTGCCTTATCGTCCTCTCGTGGGAACCCAGCATCCAGGATCACGCCACCATTCTTGCTTGACACGCTCCCGCCACACTACCTTTTGCATCGGTATCTCCGTGAGCTACCGGAACCGATATGTTGTCGTGGCATCATTTTCAGATTCATCACCGTGGCACCCTTTCTTTCCACCACGGTGACAAATGCTTCATAATATGCTCATGTCAACATTTTCATAAAGTTGCATAAAACTTGCACATGTCATCCGCATCATGATAATAACATTTAAAATGTTTAAAATTGTTGTTTGCATTAAATTGCTAAATGCATGTGAGAATTTTCTGGAATTGTTGCTTGTTATTTCCGGCCTCATTTAAACTTGCCTAAATAGTTAGTTTACTTATGCCTCACTTCTTGCCATGTTAACTAACATTTAATATTGTTGAGTACCTAAACGAGAGAGAGCTAAATAATTGAATGTGGTGTTTCGTCAATATGCATCTCGTTGCATATTGAGCTCCACTTAATTTGTAGTGTTGTTTGTATACTTTTCCATGCCATGCCTCTTTAAACCGGACATGCATCATACTTGATTGTGCATCGTGCCATGTTGATGTGATGGTTGTTTACCATGTTGTGTGTTTCTTTCCGGTTGCGCTTCTCCTTGATAGTTACAGTTATGTTGCGTTTGTGAGGATTCGTTCGACTACGTCCGTTTGTTTTCTTCATGGACTTGTTCTTCTTCCTTGCGTGATCTCGGGCAAGATGACCATACCCTTGATATCACTTCTATCTTTGCTTGCTAGTTATTTGTTCTATCGCTATGTCGCGCTACCTACCACTTGTTATATCATGCCTCCCATATTGCCATGTCAAGCCTCTAAGGCACCTTCCTAGCAAATCGTTGTTTGGCTATGTTACCGCTTTTGCTCAGGCCCTCTTATAGTGTTGTTAGTTGCCGGTGAAGTTGAACTTTTCTCCATGTTGGAACATGTTTATGTTGGGATATCACAATATCTCTTATTTTAATTAATCCATCTATATACTTGGTAAAGGGTGGAAGGCTCGGCCTTTTGCCTGGTTTTTGTTCCACTCTTGCCGCCCTAGTTTCCGTCGTACTGGTGTTATGTTCCTTGATTTTGTGTTCCTTTTGCGGTTGGGGATTTATGGGACCCCCTTGACAGTTTGCTTTGAATAAAACTCCTCCAGCAAGGCCCAACCTTGGTTTTACCATTTGCCAACTAAGCCTTTTTCCCTTGGGTTTTTGCGAGCCCGAGGGTCATCTTTATTTTAACCACCCCCCCCGGGGGGGCAGTGCTCCTCTGAGTGCTGGTCCACACTGGAGCCCTTTGCAGCGCCACCTCGGGGAAACTTGAGTGCTGGTTTTAGTTGTACAGATTGCTCATTCGGTGTGCCCTGAGAATGAGATATGTGCAGCTCCTATCAGGATTTATCGGCACAGTCGGGTGGTCTTGCTGGTCTTGTTTTACCATTGTCGAAAAGTCTTGTAACCGGGATTCTGAATCTGATCGGGTCTTCTCGGGAGAAGGAATATCCTTCGTTGACCGTGAGAGCTTGTGATAGGCTAAGTTGGGACACCTCTGTAGGGTATAAACTTCCGAAAGTCGTGCCCGCGGATATGAGGCAGATGGAAATTTGTTAATGTCCGGTTGTAGAGAACTTGACACTTGACTTAATTAAAATGAATCAACCGCGTGTGTAGCCGTGATGGTCTCTTTTCGGCGGAGTCCGGGAAGTGAACACGGTCTTGTGTTATGCTTAAACGTAATTAGTTTCAGGATCACTTCTTGATCATTTCTAGCTTCACGACCGTTCTGTAGCTTCTCATCTTACTCTTATTTGCGTATGTTAGCCACCATATATTGCTTACCGCTTGCTGCAGCTCCACCTCACTACCTTATCCTACCCATAAGCTTAAATAGTCTTGATCTCGCGGGTGTGAGATTGCCGAGTCCTCGTGAATCACGGATACTTTCAAACAGTTGCATGTGTGGATGATACCAGTCCAGACGATGCTATCGAACTCAAGTGGGAGTTCGACAAGGACCTTGGTCGTTACTATGTGTCTTTTCCGGATGATCAGTAGTGATGCCCAGTTGGGACGATCGGGGATCTAGCATTTGGGGTTGTCTTCTTTTATTTTGGTTCCGTAGTCGGACCTTGATTGTACTCTGGATGATGTATGTTTAACTTGTTATTTGTGTGATGTGGAGATTGTGAGCCAGCTCTTTATCCCTTTCTTATTCAGTACATAGGATTGTGTGAAGATTACCCTCTTGCGACAAAACCACCATGCGGTTATGCCTCCAAGTCATGCCTCGACACGTGGGAGATATAGCCGCATCGTGGGCATTACAAGTTGGTAATCAGAGCCATCCCCGGCTTAGGAGCCCCCTGCTTGATCGAATCGCTGGTGTTGTAGAGTCTAGAACAAAAATGTTTTGAGTCTTAGGATTATATATATATCGGAGAGTATGATTATTTTTACTCCTCAATCCCTTCGTCGCTCTGGTGAGGTCCCCTGACGTAGATGCTTTGACTTTCCTCTTCTCAAATTTCACTAAAAAAATTTAGGATCACGCGGGTATCTTGGGATCGTTCCGATAGTCTTGTGACGAAAACATTGTCCTTGGTGCCTCCTGACATTTAGGGGTTGTGGCAGTGTCCCGGGGAGTTGAGCTCCGAGGTGTTGTCGTCACAATTTTATCGTTGCAATACTGGAATACCTGAGTTTCTCCGACATTGAAAATCTATTTTATGCAGTCGTTGCTGAGATAACCTCGACGCCACCCAATACTGGGGCGGGAATTCGGGAGTATTGCCATAACTCGTATAACAGATGCTTTTCGAAGGTTGAGGTACATGATTTCCGAAGGTTTCTTGGTTATGTGTTGACGGATGGATACAGTTGGATGTAGGGATTGTTAGTTTGGGTGAGATATTATGCTTCCCATGTATCCCCAACACCAGATTGCATAACCAGAAAGTTTCGGGAGTTTATAAGTGGGAATTCAAGTAGCTCTTAGGATATCTTTCTAACAGACAGATGCATGATATGGGATTGGGTAAATCTCTATCATATGTTTGTTTCGGCTTATTCTGCAAGCCAAATCCTTTGTTTTGTTTTGAGTTATGGTATTCGAGTTGCTTCAATGTCAAGTGTTGATTCCATACCTTTCCTAAGCGGTGTTCTCATATTCCTGTGTGAATACTAACCCTTCTTAATTTTCGAGATTGTCATCTCAATTCTATTTTCAACCGCTTCTCTTCAAGTTAATCCTACCCTTTCAATGTTTGCTAGATCAATTCTCAGTTCTTTGCAACGGTGTTTGTTTCATCCGTCCCAAATTGCATTTGTTTTACCCACCCTCCCACCCCTTGTTTGTTCAAGAACTCAGATTTCTTAATCGAGTATCCATCTTATGCATGTGAAGTATCTCCATTCTTTTCCGTCAATGTTCTTATCCGGTGGTTCTCAGGAAGATACTAACAGATCTTCAAGTTTATTATTCTTCGTTCTCTTTTCTTCTCCGGTGGATTCAATTCAATCTTTGTTGATCATATCATTTTACTCGTTTCACATGCTTTCTCATGCCGGTGTACCTCTTAATCATTCACTTCTCGCTATTCATTTGTTCTGGAGTGCCGAAGATATCTCAGAAGATTCACATTTCCATTCTCGATCCGTTCAAGTTATTTTGAGGTTGTTATCCCATTCAAGCCACTTAATTCAACCGGCACAATCTATCTTTTAAATTGTTCAACGGTGTTTCTTTGAGTGGGCCCTAACCCATAGGTCTTTTCCCAGGATCTTACCTGACTCTTCTAATTTTTGCGGAGTTATTCCCAAATTCTTTTCAAAGTTTGACGTAAGAATGAATTGTCATTAGTAAAATGTCTTTCTCCAAGATCTTTCATATTATTTCATTGTTGGTTCAACCTTCCTATCCTTCATTGTTCCGGAGTGCCTCAATAATCATGGTGGTGTTTCTCCTCGTCATTCTCGGATTTTGAAGACCGAAGAAGAGTTTCTCCTTCAAATCTTATTCGTTCTCTCAAAGATTCGTAGTTAAAGCTTGTTGCCATCCTCTCATAATTGTTTTTGATTGTGAGAATTCTTTTCACCCATCCGGAGCAATTCAGGAGTATTTTTAGTTTGATTCTTCGAAGCCCATCACCTCAGGATTATTCATTCCAGCTTTCAGCTCTCATTCTCCAAATCTTACCGGTGCATCGTTTAAATATCCTCTAATCAGTTTAGGATCTCTTCGTTCTAATGTATCTAAATTCTCTCAAGTATCTTCGTTCTTTTTATAATTCTTCCCGATATTTCTTTATTTATTTTTCTTCGTTCATTTTCAATTCTTACGGTTGTTCGTTCAAGAGTTCTCTTCCTTGGTT